TACCGAGTCTGTTTTTGCAATTTTGTATTTTCTTCTTTCCAAATTTATTTTTTCCAAAACCGTGTTTTTATTCAAATTTTCAATAGTTTATATATTTTCTCAAACCGTCTTAGATTTTCTCACTTTTTGGGGATTTTCTCTCAAAATATACAAAAATAGTAATATCAATACATGTGTCTAATATACTTTAAAACCCTCGTGACAAAATTCAAAAACGAAGAGATCTTCTTTCCGAATTTTTTTCAAAATCAAATAAATGAGATAAAAAAGTACGTTTGGAAAATTCATTTTTACCATTTTAGGAATTTTCTCACTTTTCTTCCAAATTGACATCCTTAATAAAAAGCAAAAGCATATATAAAATAGTAATAATATCTAACGAAAAAGCCTTGACCATATGATAATAGAAATTTGGCAGAAAAATTTGAATTCAATTTAAGTTTCAGAACCAATCACGAACAATCGATTAAAATATTTCAAAGAGTATTATTCTGTAATTCCGGTTTTATATTGTGAACGGATATTTTTGAAAGCATTGAAAAAGTTTTTCGTGATTTTTTTCGTTTTCTCAATATTAAATTTTTATTATTCTCCCATAGTAGAATTAAAATTTTTCTAAAATTTAAGATATTCAATTTTTGAAATCAATTGTGTTCGTTAACAAAATTCTCAAAAAAAATGAACGAAGAGATTATGAAGCTACAAGACGAATTAGAAGAAATAAGTCACAGCTTATCGCAACAAGATATATCCGAAGTTATTGATAATGAAAGACGAATATGTTTTATTTGCTGCAATTCTTATACAAAGCCAGAATTTCATTTAGGATCTGCTCCAATTAACGATTCAATCACGGTCGCATTACTACATCATGCCAAAGGTTATAAAAATATTCATCTACTCAATCCAAGCCCACAAAAATTCATGTCAATTTTTGATAAACTCTTACAAATGAAATTAGAAAAGCTTACGATATTTATTGCGGTCATGGAAGTAAAATTGGCAATGAAAGTGTCCTCATTTTCGATAATGGCTGCATAAAAGGTTCCCAAATTCTGGATCATTTCCGTGCTTACAGCCTTGATTCATGCCAAAAAAACAATTATTGCTGATTGCTGCAACGCTGAGTCAATTTGGGCCGGCGAAAATCTTCCAAAAAATACAATAATTTTGTGTTCTTCTATTGGTGATACACCTTCCAAACAAGCTAAAGTTTTGGAAGAGATCATGGACTATTTACACTATTCTTTTGGAGAGCTTTCCGCAAGAATCCAAATTTCTCCATCAAAGAAATTGTTCAAAATGTAAATACTTATTTGGCAAAGTTTGACCAGAAGATCATGTGCACATCTACACCGTCAAACCTTGTCGACTTTTCCATGTTCGATGGAAAGAAGCGAATTATTAACAATGCATAAGAATTATTATTTATTGTTTTGTTTTATTATAAATTATATTATTCTATCCGGTAATTTAGGCTCTAATTTTTTTCTGATCCAATTCATCATCTTCTTATTAACATTATTAACATTCATATATGCATTAAATTAATGGAAATAAGTTAGACTTTATATTTATGTTAGAAAAGCAGCTTGTTGGACGTTGCTCGTTAAATTCTTTTCTCCATCATTCTATTCTATGGATAAGCAAGCGCAAATCTATCTGTATATGGAAAATAACAACGAATGGTTTAACTGTAGCTTCCGTTTCGGAATCTTTTAAAAATCTTTGCTATTTAGAGCATCATAACTTTTATATTGGATGATAAAATTCGAAATATTTTCCATAGACTTATATGAAAATAATATATAGTTAATGTTTTAATTAAATAATAATAAATTAACAATTATTTAACCTCAAAGAAAGGTTTTTGATCTGGTAAGCATCAGCCAATCTTTGCCTGATCATATTAGGATCAGGTGCTGGTACCGGCGGAATCCTTATCTTCGATCTTGGATCAATATAAATCTGAGGAGAGCTTGGTAACGATCCAGACTGTTGAGGAACACCAGGAAGAGGCATCTGAGGCTCGGGGTTGTTGAGCTTGGTTTTCATTTCCTTCCTCTTCTCCTTCGTCTTCCTCTTCTTCTCGTAATATTCTTCCTCTTCCTCGTCTTCTTCCTCCTCTTCCTCTTCATCCTGATCGACTGTTAAGAACTTTGGCCTGCATTCCGATGGAATTGCGATCTTTGGGTTTCCTTGTCGAACAATTTCCATCAAATCGAGAAGTAGCGGGTCCTTGATCTTATATTTATCATCGAAGAACGTAATGGAAAGGTTAACACCTCTTCTTGCGAAAGATTTGTAAAATTTATTCAAAGCATCGCCTTCTGTAATGCCATTGCCTACAGCTTTGACGGTAACGACTGCTCTGTTGTGCATTAATGCGTCCGATAAGCTGTCAAGGATCGCAGGAGGGAATCCTTGGTTTGATAAATCAATATGAGACAAAGAACGATTGGTTTTGAGGGCAACAATGATATATTTGACATGATCAAGTAATATCTTGCTCTCCGAGCCAGCGCAAAATAGATATCTTAAACGTTTTGTGAAGGCAATATATCTATAAACGTTTTCAAGCACTTTTTCACCTTGGTTTATGCATCCATTGATAGATAACCATGCAATACGGCATTCCGATAAGTAATCAACGAGATCTGGGAAGAGTGGGTTGTTATCCCAATTAAATTCTGTCAATTTTTCGGTTGAGAAGTTATCGAGGTTTTGTTTGAACTCATCCCATTTATTATCTTCGACTTTCGTGTTCGCTAGTTCCAAACGAAGCTTCTGCGATGCGGTTTGATGATCTGTTATGACAAGGAATTGCTACGAGGGCGGAAGCGTTCCATGTGTTATTGGAAAGGTCTATTGACTCAAGATTAGGTGGAAGAAGTAAGTCTTCAGGTACAGATTTCTTAGTTATATTATTTTGAAGCTCTAATCTTCTCAGTTTGATATTTCTCTTAGTTGACAGTAATTGGAATACATCGGCAACTTCAACTTCGCATGAATTCAACGCTAACTCTGTTAAATTAGGGAAATTGAAAATCGGAGCGTAATTAATACTCATTTTGCTGAAATTCAAGATCTCTATGTCCTCAAATTTGTTTGCATTTGACTCAAACTGCTTGTTGAACTCATGGTTTGCGGATTGGTCGAGAAATGGATTTTCTAATTTGTAAGAAGTCAGGAAAGGAACGTGTGCGAGGTCCAAAAGATATTTAACATCTAATCTTTCTGTTTTAGAGTTAATTAATTGGATACTATTGATGCGCGCTTACCATCCATTTTTTCTTCTTTTAATGCAGATATAACTTTCCTTATATCTTCATTAACGGTATCTCTTGATACCAATGTTGTAATATTTGACGAATTCTTAAGGAATTTGGCAACATCTTTCCATTTTGGATTTTGAAACAGAGGAATTTCTATAGTATCGATATTTGTGACGTTAATTGACTCAAGAAGGATAATTAATCCTTTGTTTAATAATGCAACGAGAGAATCAAAGTTAAAAGAGTGGCCTAAAAGTTGTAGTTCTGAAGATAGCCAGAAATCTCATGATTAGGCTTTTCATCACGAAGATAAGTGAGGAATTTGTAACGCTTAATCGGAGCATTATCAGGCTTCTTCATTCTTAATAATGGAGTGATTTGAGGGAGTTCTTCAGTTGGAAGGATGGTAAATATAGCTTCGAACAATTTCTTAAAAGCATCATCCATCTCTGGACCACTAATGAGATGCTCTTCTGACTCATATTTTATTCGTAAGATTTTATCGTTTGTAAGTTCTATTTCTTTAACATCTTGGTGAGTAAAGTACTTATACTGTGCAACTTTACCAAAAGCTTTGGATTTAAATATCTGTATATCGAAATCTGTCATCAATAAAATGCATTTCGAGCCTTTTTTGATATTTCCTTCATCAGACATCGTGACATGATTGATATAGAACGGTTTGCATGCTTTTTCTCGATACATGCCACCTATCGATATCTTAGCTTTTTCATCAATCATTTTTTCAAGAGATCCAATGTAAAGCTTTTTTTTCTCGGAATTTTTCACCGTCCCTTTGAAAATGAATTGCAAATATATAATTTTGTTTGAAAATGTTGCCTATAATCATATGCAAATATTAAAAAAATTATTCCGAATCTGAGAAATGAATCAGAATTACAAATGAAATCCGTTAAGAAGCTGAATTCGAATTTAATAGGACAAAGTGGTAAGAATATTTGGCAGCGGTAATAGTGTGCACACTATTTTCCAATATTTCGTATTCAACATTTTAATTTGACATTGGAATTCATCACGCTGCAACTAACAAACACAGTTGACTAATTCTAAAATGTTTTTGAACATCTAAATATCATAAATTTTTGATTGCTTATGATGATGAATTCTATATTCCATTAATCATGGATACATCATATACTGCGAAATCTCAATTGAAATCCATAGAGCACGATCAATTCAAAATAATGCCAAATAAATCAAAGTAATTTCAAACGAATCAGAACATATTCATCTTAATCCAGATTATAATATGCGTAATCGTTTACAAGAAGGAAATTTATAAAGATTTTAGAAGTGAAGTATTAAAAGTGAGCATTAATCATGAATTAATAGAAAATATCAAAGAACATAATTAGTGTAATGATAATTAACTAGTCATTGGTCAGTGATATGTCTCGATATTTTTTCATGAATCTGACTTTCGAAGGAATCAAGATCATCTCTAAACTAACCATTGCCAAAGTGGATTCATATCAACGCTATGATTTGAAAACTAATCATATTTTGATGAATACCGAGAAACACATCAGGAATAAATATCATGTTATCCTTGAAAGTAAAGTAATGCGTGTGTGCAATCACTAATACTCATAGAACACAAACTGAAATGCTTCACCCTTAACCTTTACATCCGAGAAATAAAAAAGTGTTACATCTCCCCTTTTTTTTCTGATATAAATTTTTTATGAAATTTTATCAAATTTTATGGATTCGAATAGCTCTGAGGCGAGAGTAATAATGCCAGCGATTATTAAAGGCTACGATCATTTAAACAACTCAGCCTTTGTCGAGTGGGTTATTAAAGCATGCAAAAATGATGATAAGCCACCAAAATCGAAGCATGTTCGCAGAATTATCAATGGTATGCTTAGAGACTCTAATGTATCTATGCAAATGATGGTTAATATCATTATTGATGATAACCACTGGCAGACAAATCCAATTTTGGGCGCCAAATTATTATATGTTGCCCTGTCTGTCTTCCAAATGATGAAGAAATTAGAGGCAGCAGATGATGCTCTCAAGAAGATTGATATGCTTTCCAGTTATTATGAAAAACAACGCTTCGATGAAAAACTTACACCATATTGGAACATTGCCTTGGGTCTTGCATCAATTTACCACTCTAAGGTTATTTTCCATCATCAGAATCCTAATGTTCAGCCTAATTTCCATTCAATAGATGGCAAATTCCCAAGTGAATTTTTCGAAATCCTTCGTGGTTATCTTACCAAAGTTATTTATGAATCAAACCGTGCGCTTGCAAATATTGCTGATAATTTCCCATGCACTGTCATGGTACAGCCATTTATTGAAGAGGCAATCAATTCATACAGACTTTTGAAGTTTGTTGACAAAGATAATGCTGCAAAAACAACATTGAGGGATGCTGAAGCACTATTTGAGAAAGCACAGTCAATCCAATTCTTAAGGAGTGCTGTTATTTATCCTCCAAAGTACAACTCAATCCCAGAGCCTCGTTTTTCAAGCTATGGCGCACAGTGATCAAAACAAAACTACGAGATATGCTTAAACTTTATACTTATTTATTGGAATTTTTATCTTTTATTTACTCTCATTTTTCAAACCGGATGTATGATACTTCACTTACCCTTGAGTAGTTTTATTAGATTGACTACCTAGGCAGAATATTATGAAAAATTATTTTGATAATCGATTTTGAATTACGATTTTTCATTCCAATTTATAATGAAATAGCATCTTGCTTTGTAAAGATAGAGAATTTTAAAACATTTTTAGTTTTAAATTTTTCAAGATGATTTTTTTTTCGTACGTTTGTGAAACTTCGATTTTTCAAGAACAAAATGACTTACAATCTTCAGCTCGAACTAGATAATAACATGATAGATATCACAATTAAGATTGTAAGCGAGAACGAAATGAGAGTAGAAGCAAATGATCCAATTAACTATCACAGATGGCAATCAACTTTCGATTATAATTATTTTAGTTTGTTAGCGCAGCAGACAATCCTCAAAGACCCAAGAGCTTGCTCAAAAATTGTTTATGATTCCCTTAAATTGAAAAAGGGTTGCGAAATCAAACTAACATATGTAAAAGATGTTACACAAAAAAACGATGTTGGAAGTGAATTGCTTCTTATATTTAGTATCAACATAATGGTTAAAATAGCTTTACCCTTCAAGCTTGAACCAAAGCCCTACTCTACACAAGAATTAGTTGATATAATCAAAGATCTAAAGAAAACACAAGGTCCCAGACTTGACATAGAAAATCAATTGATACAAAAACAACTTTATGAACAATCTCAAGCATTTTTTGCTGAAAAACAAGATTTGATTCAACAAATTCAAATGTTACAGGATGAAAACGAAAAGTTGAAGGAAGATCTATCTAAGAAGGAAAGGATTATTAAATCTCTTCAAGAAACTTCTCATTCTAAAATTCAACAATCTTCATATGATCGCCGAGCACCTAGCCCTCACTCTAGTAGTATTGCTGAACGTCAAACTGTATCTCCACGTACCAGACAAACTTCTGGACCATATAAAACAGTTCGCTCTGGATCATCTAATTCAAGAAACGCATCTGCTAAAAATTCAAGAAATGCTTCTGCCAGAAGTTCATCTATTTCATCCAGGAATAATTCTGCTTTTAATTCTCGTAATTCCTCTAGAAACAGCTCTGTTCAAAGCTCTAGGAGAAATTCAGTAGCAAGTTCTTCGAATAATTCAAGAAGTTCATCAGTGAGGTCTTCTAGAAATTCATCCGCTAGATCATCAAGAGGTTCCACTCCAACACGTACTATAATACATCATATAGAAGTGAACATATTCCTCTGAAAAGGTTTGACCCTACTGCATGGAAGAAGCAAAGAGATGCACGCCGTTCGGCTTCTCCTGCTAGAAAAACTTTTTATTAATGGATATTTTGTTGCTTTTGTTAAATTATTTTTATTTATTATCATGATATTTTACTTTATATTTTATATTGAGTTTGTTTAATTTCGAATATAGAAATAGTTTTAGTAATTACATAAACAAATAAACATTTATTCTGAATACGATATCGGAATATTAAATAAAATCTTAGAGTTAAATGAAATGAATATCATAAAGCTCTAAGAAATTATATATCGTAATCATCATCTCTATCGTATTGTATGCCGCATGTGCAAACTCGAACTTATTGATAATTTTCCTGAATCAACAAAATTTGCAATTTTTTGTATTATATTCCTTCCACTAATGAGTCTCCAATTGGAACAGCGTTTTCTGGAACATCTGCGTTTCTTTCATTGTAATGATGATTCTGGTGAAGTTTGTTCATTTCGTGTACTGAACATATCATATAGGGATATTGCATGGAGATGTTGGATAATCTGCTGGCTTTGTTTCAACTTTATCAAGAAAAACTGAACCGAAGGAAACTGAATTTCCTGGATTGTAGTTCGATGCATTAACACCTCTGAAGCAGTACTGTCCGCTTAAGCATTTTAATCCGGGCTCTAAAGTTGCGAACCAATTTGGAGCTTCACGGTTGAAGAAACCGATATCAAGCCTTCCAGAGCGAACTTTATCTATAACATATCTAAATAGCCTCGCTCAAACACTTTGGGTGTTGAAAGTGTGCACTGAAGGAGAAAAGAAAACATAAAATCTGTCAGTTTTTCCGAAACATGTTCAGTGATGAAGTCAAGTGACTTTTAAGCATCTGAAACTATAAATATTTTAGTTGGGATTCAATTGGTTATAAAATCATGCAAATTAACAGCACACCCATAAAATATTCGAAATGATGACTTTTCAATCCTCATTAACTAAAAGAATTGAGAGAAAATCACTATCTAAAAGGATTCTTATGTATGATCTGATGATCTTTTAAAACTATATAAAGAAGGAAAATTGAGTTAAATTTTAGTATAGAAACAAACAAAATTATGATTGAACAAACATGAAAAGTGCAATAGAAAAGCATGCGAGGAAGGATATTGTTCCTTTAGCATCAATTTCAACATCATCTTTGCAACTTTTCTGACAGCAATGATTTCTTCACCATTGAAGCACATTTTACAGTTTTTAATACTTGGGATTGCTTTTCTATCTCCAAATGCCGATTTCAAATCTGAGCATATTCCTGGAGGACTTGTAAGCTTTTTGTAAGGCGGGATTACGCCATCTATCTCGAAAAACTCAGCATGTACAGCATGCCCTGCTTCAATTTTGAGAGACAACGATATATCATTTCCAAGTCTCATATTAAAAAGACCTTCATTATTAGTATCGATTTCACATATAAGTCCTCGAGGATTCGAAACTTTGATTTCCTGTGAAAAGTAGAAGCATATTTGGCTTGAGCAACAAATGAGCCAGAATTATCTCCAACTTGCTTCATTGTAAATAATTTATGAAATGTTCCTCCTTGCCAAACTTTTTCACGATGAACTGTGTAATGATTTACTCGTTCCCATATTGGTATAAGTTGAAGCCTTGAAGATGCGCGTGGTGTTGAAGATTTGTATCTGTCAAGTAATCGTAACTGTGGTTTTGATTCTTGAGGCATATTTTGTAATCTTGGAATCTCTAATGCTGAATTTGCATGTGGATTGACCATAGGTGTTTCGCTCTTTGATTGAGTCATTGTATGTACCTGTACTTTTGGTGTTTCTGAATCAACACCACTGTCATCGTCGTCATTTGATAAAATAAAAACAGAATTTTTACTTGGAGAATCAGTCTGAGCATCGTTATTATTGCTTGATGGTTCACGTTTTAATCTTTTGCGAACCCTTCTGTCATTGCTTGGCTTGGTATCACTCATTTATTTTTGTAAAATAATTGTTTTGAAAAAACAATGTAAAACGGAAGAAAAATTTAAAAAACGCTATCCTGGGGACTCGAACCCCAAACCCTTGGATTAAAAGTCCAAAGCTCTATCCTGTTGAGCTAGGAAAGCTTCACGATGTTTTCGATGAATAAGTCCTTATCATATTTATTTCACACTTTTCAGTCAATTCTATCGGCGCGAAAAGTAACTTTTGACATTTTGAATTTACAGTAAATTAGCATACTATATTTATAATTTTTATGGCTTAATTTAGATAGTATTCGTTCAGAAATTTTAATCATATTTTAACTAAACATATGTTAGTATTCTTCACTATTTGGTTGGTGCAAGCGCCAACCAAATAGTAAAAAATTCAATTTTTCAAAAAATTTATTATATTAATTATCATCAAAACTCACGGAAAACTTAATGCTTGGTTATTACAATACATTCAGAATCAGAATTCATCACATATCCTTTTCCGAACAAATGAGGATAATAATTTTCGAAAAACTTCTGAGAGTTTGAATTAGATCATATCATATAATTAATATATATATATATATATTTGGCCGAAGGTGCGTGCTTGCTAGAAGGGTAAGCGAAGCCACCTGAGCCCGAAATCATATTTGATCAAATATGATTTTTTTGGGCTAAAAATGTAGTAAATTATATATCTTCACACTACAGATCACCAAACTTTATTCAACTCAATCGGACAAAATCACATGATATGCTTGTTCATTCAATTCAAAATGTGTCTGTTCAAAGAAACATCAATAGGAAAAAGAGATACGCGTACAGTTTGTATTTAATTTGTGTTCAATATGTTTTTGAGTGATTATCCAATAAATGAGAACAAGTTAAACCCATATCAGTAATATGTACTAAATGCTATTATATATTTTCATAATTAAAGTCTCTGAATTTGAAAATAGTCGAGGTGGACTATTTCAAAAAAAAAGTGTATATAGAGAAAGGTAGTCTCACGAAAAATCTGGCGGTAAAAATGTGTATCGAGTTTGAGAATTTTATGAAAAATTACGACATCTAAAATTTTGGTTGATTGTCCAAGGGAAAAAACCAATCAAGCCCATTATGACAAATTGATGGAGGTTTTTACAGGATATAATGATGTCTACGATGCTTTGTACAGGCTGAAAACAAATGACGAAGAAAAATTAAACCGCAATTTACAAAAAAAATCAAAACAAACCTGATTGATCTTATCGATTCCGCCTGGTGAGACTATCAATAAAATATCCCAACTTTCAATTTATAACAACCGCTACATGAAGTCATATTAGCGATTGTCAAACAAATTGTTTACGAATGCCATCTAATCAGGTCAACAAAATCAGCAAGTTTTTAATTACCTTTTCTACAAAGAATACAATATAGTATTGAATGAAAATGAGAGAAAAAGTTTTAACGATTTTAAGATTCTCATTATTCATCTGATATTCACGAACAAAAGACAATTTACAGATCTATTATGGATGATGACAAAATATCATTTATAATTTTTACAGAAAGAGAAGGATTTGATAAAAAATCAAAAATTAAAAAGTGATTATATCCATATTCAAGAGGTATTTCGTTACTTGAACTATGTGTTATTATGGATCTGTTGATTGTTTTAAGTTTTTAATAACAAAATTTCAATCAGAAATAACTCCAAATTGTCTTAGATTATTCTTTTTTGGGTGGAAATCCAGACAATGAATGAATGCTTGAAAGTACAAAAAACCAGATGATAAATGCATGGAATATGCAATTATATCACACAATATTGATTTTGTTAACATTTGATGAATGAACACATATAAAAATTGATTTAGAATTGTGCTCTAAATACAATAATCTTCAATCATTTTTAGTTTGTTTGGATCAAACAAAATGATATCAACACATGTTTTGTTTGTTCTCCGAATTTCCATCTTTCATCACTTTTAGAATATTTATTTCCAATGTGCAGATATCAATGCTAAAAAACAAATATGAATTGACCCCTCTTCATTATGCAGCCAGAGATAATAGGAAAGAAACTGCAGAAATTCTTATTTCAAATGGCGCAGATATCAATGCTAAAGACAAAGATGGATGTACCCCTCTTCATTATGCACCAGAGATAATAGGAAAGAAACTGCAGAAATTCTTATTTCAAATGGTGCAGATATCAATGCTAAAGACAAATATGAATCTACCCTCTCATTATGCAGCCATGTATGATAGAAAGAAATTGCAGAATTCTTATTTCAAATGGTGCAGATATCAATGCTAAAGACAAATATGAATTGACCCCTCTTCATTATGCAGCCAGAAATAATAACAAGGAAACTGCAGAAATTCTTATTTCAAATAGTGCAGATATCAATGCTAAAGACGAAGATGGATGGACCCCTCTTCATTATGCAGCCAGAGATAATAGGAAAGAAATAGTGGAAATCCTTAATTCAAACAAGACAGACTGTCATGTTGAATTTCGTAAAGGCAAAGGTTCAAGAGCGAGTTGCCTTATTTTTTATTTATTTATTTATTTATAATAATAAAGACTCATATTTCCAGACTATAGTTGTAATCATTGAGAAATATATTTCACACACTTTGTCTGTATATTGAATTATAGGGATATTTGTATTCATTAGTTAGATCCAATTTAAGCTTAAGTAAATATAGAAAACTAGAGCTCGGATGATAATCTTTCAAAAGAAAAAAGAAATTAAATAAAATAACTTTTAAAAAAGGTTTTAAAGATCAATGAAGAAAATTGAAATTGTGTTCAAGTGTCGTGAGCTACTTTATCTTGTACCTTTTAGAGTTGGTAGAAAAAGTAATATGGGTGTTTCTTGATGAATGAAGGAACATCGAAGTTCTTCTTTGGCAAAGCGATACCTTCTTGTGAGCTATCTTTGGCAAAGCGAATTTCTTGCATCTTAGCTTTTGCATAGCATGGCGTCCATACTTCTGATACCAGCGCTTAACATTTCCTTGCATATTTGCTTTGAATCTATTT